GTTCAGTAGTACAAAAATGTCTGTGGCCTGGCAGAACCCCAGTTATGTTAGTTTCCTTCTTTCTTCATTCACTGTCTCAGGCATCCTCTCTCACCTTCTTCCTCCTCCCTCTCCCTTACTCCATCCCTTTCTGCCCTCCTCTGCTCTTGTTTGCACATGGAAGTCAATGTTATCTTTAAGTATGAGTAGAAAATTGAGATACCAGGAAAGGGATTAATCAAAATAAAGAGAAAGAAGATAAAGAGGGTCTCTGTGTTAAAATAGAATTTATAAGTCATTTCTGCAATACAGTACTTAGCTATGCAGAGAGGAAATGGAGGAAAAATGATGATGAAGATGAAGACAGTCGGACAATTAGTACCATCTCAAGATTTCAAAGTTTAAGAATCTTCAAAGGACTTTAAACACAATACATAGTTTTGACTTAATATATATTCTCAGTGCTCATTAAAATATGTAATCCACGTGCCCTGGAAATATCTTCCAGAAATGAAGAGAAGAAAGCAGGTTAGCAATTACAAAATTTACATCAAAACACCATTACCCAAATTTGAGTTCAAGTGATGGCTCAAACCAGGAGCATCACACTTGGGTGGCAGGGGAGCTTAAGAAAACCAAAGCTACTTAAATCACATTCCATCTCCAGGATTCTGGTACATGTAAACCATAAGCTTCCTTTTGAAGAATACTGGCTTAGTGGTTAAGAGATTGGTCTTAACTTAAGTTCTGAGTTCAAATCTTAAAACCACCATCTTCTAGCTTTACAAATGTGAGGAACTTTCTGACTTTTCTGGTCCTCATTTTTCTAATCTTTGAAATTAGATATAATACACATTTCAGATGTTGTGATAATTCAACAAAGTACATTGTACAAAGTCCATTTATTGTTTCTTAGCACAGTATCTGGCACATAAGAAGAAACAATAAATGTTAGCTACTGATATTATCATTAGGCAAAGCAAAAGTGGCTTGGATAGTTTTTTCTGTATGTTTTCATTCTTCTTTCCTTTCCATTTTATAAATCTAAAAATAATACATTAAGCAAGATGGAAGATTATATAGCTTTCAGACAAAAGTCAGGAGGTAAAGTGGTCCAGGATGAGTATGGCAGCAATGCAAGCTGGGCCTTTCCTTCTAAGAGTGGCTGTGGTCCTCTTTATTCAAGATGGCAGCCAGAGCGCCAGGAACCATGCCTGCATTCCACAGCATAGAACAGAGGAAAGAAGGGAGCATCAGTCTCTCAATAAGGACCTTTCCTAAAGGTTGCTTACATTCCATTAGCCAGAACTTGGCTGCCAGGCAGACTGGAAAATGTGACCATTATTCCAAGCAGTCATATACCCAGAAAAATGCAGCCTGTATTACAATGGAAAATTGGGGAGAAGAAATATGAAAGGGCAACTATTGTTTCCTTATGTACGCGACTTTGAGAGTCCTGCCGGTTTGAGTCATTCCCCAGAAATCCGCTCCTCTTATTCTACTTCTATCTGCTTGTGTCTCAGGTGAAGAATATCTTCCTTAAAAAAAAATTTTAAAAGTTACATAGTTTGCTTATCTTACCCAGTTTGGTTTATTTTCTTCCTAAATTCTTTCCATACCTTTCACTCCTTAGCTCCCAGCTTCATTCATTTTCTTTTTCACCGGTTTTACCCAATTTTCAGAAGCAATACAATTGTTTCATTGAAGAAAAGTTAGAAACACAGTTCAACACCCAGGAATTTTTTTAATGTTCAAAAATCTCACTACTTAGAAATAATCATTCGATGTGCTCCTGTGGTTTTCTAGTACCTGAGCTCTCTTCACTGTACCCACAACTCCATCTCATCAGCACAATTATGGGAGATCTTGTCTCTATTCCTGAGCTGCTTGGAATTCCCTTTTCAAGTGAACTTTGCAGAGTTGGAAGATGCTTAAAGACCTGATTTAATGCTCCCCTAAATCCCATTATAAATACCAGGACTACCACAATGAGAAGAGACTACTATTTCAGGAAAGTGCAAATAAAATATACTATTTCAATTAAACCTAAGTTGTTAGAACTTTTAATTTGCCATGCTGACTTCAGGCAAGACCAGAATAAAGCCATTTTCATGTGGACAAACCAGTTTCAATTAGAAAATAAATGCATTTCAGTAAATTAACTACTTAAACAGGCAACTGCTTGACAGACAATTTTTTTTTAAACTGATGATTGACTTCTGACTAGTTATTTCTTTGTCTTATTCGAGCTTCCTAATGATTTAAACATTCATGGAGTTTACAATTTCTACAGAAGGCTGAAGACAAACTACATTCCACCGTTCTCATGAATGGTAGCACTTTCTATTTTCAGGTGGTTCTTTCTTCTCATTTTTCTTCCTAAAAACACTGAGGAGCAGGTAGAACTGATATCATTAGCTTTCCATTAAAAATAGTGATAATACTTCTAGACTAAATTGACAGATTCAGTACAGTAGCTGGGTACAAGGTCAACACTCAAAAAACAATAGCCTTCTTGTACACAAATAACAGACTCATTGAGAGAGAAATTAGAGAAACAATTCCTTTTACAATAACATCCAAAAAAATGAAATATCTAAGAATCAATCTAACAAAGAAAGCAAAAGACCTCTACACTGAAAACTACAGCACTCTGAAAAAAGAGATCGAAGAGGATACAAGAAAGTGGAAAGACATCCCTTGCTCCTGGGTAGGAAGAACCAATATAGTGAAAATGGCCATACTTCCAAAACTACTATATAGATTCAATGCAATGCCAATTGAAATTCCAACAACATACTTCACAGAACTAGAGAAAGCAATCCAAAAATTCATTTGGAACAAGAAGAGACCCAGAATAGCAAAAGTAATTCTAAGCAACAGAGACATGGCAGGGGGTATCACAATCCCCAACTTGAAACTATACTGCAAAGCTACTGTGATAAAAACAGCATGGTACTGGCAAAAGAACAGACCTGAGGATCAGTGGAATAGATTAGAAGATGCAGAAGCATCTCCAGACATACTCAGCCACCTCATCATTGACAAAAGACCCAACCACCCTAACTGGAGGAAAGATAGCCTATTTAATAAATGGTGTTGGAAAAACTAGATTTCAACCTGCCAAAGATTAAAACTAGACCCATACCTATCACCATGCACCAAACTAAGATCGAGGTGGATTAAAGATATAAATATTAAAACAGAAACACTAAACTTACTGGAAGATAAGTTAGGTAGAACTCTTGAATACATTGCCATAGGAAAAGACTTTATGAACAAAACCTTAGTAGCACAGGAACTAGCACAAAGAATCAACAGCTGGGATCTCATCTTATTAAAAAGCTTCTGCACTGCAAAAGAAACCACCAACAGAGCTAAGGGACAACCTACAATGTGGGAAAAAAATTTTAGCAGCTGTACCTCATACAAAGGACTATCTAGAATATATAAAGAACTGAAAAAAATCAGACCACCCTAAATTCAAAGACCCAATTCAAAAATGGGCATCTGAAAAAAAAAGGGGGCATCTGAAATGAACAGACGTTTCTCAGACAAAGAAGTAAAAGCAGCAAATAAATATATGAAAAACTGTTCAACATCACTGGTCATTCAAGAGATGCAGATGAAAACAACGCTGAGATTCCACCTCACCCCAGAAAGAATGGCTGCTATCAAGAAATCTACCAATAATAAATGCTGGCAGGGATGTGGGGAGAAAGGAACCCTTCTCCATTGCTAGTGGGAGTGTAGACTGGTGCAAGCACTATGGAAATCAGTATGGAGATACCTCAAAGAACTAGGATTAGAGGTCCCATTTGACCCAGCTATTCCCCTGCTGGGTATTTTCCCCAAAGAATTAAAAGAATCATACCACAGGGATATATGTGCACCCATGTTTATAGTGGCACAGTTTGTAATAGCTAAAGCTTGGAAGCAGCCCAAGTGCCCATCAACTGGAAACTGGATAAAGAAGATGTGGTTTTGTTATAAAATGGAATACTATTCAGCCATAAAGAATGAGAAACTAGAGTCATTTATAGCTAAATGGATGCATACTGAGGCCATACTCTTAAGTGAAATAAATAGGACACACGTGTAAATATTGAATTCTCTAGTGTGAGAAATTCTCTAGTGTGAGAAACTGAAAGTGTAAATAAGGGTTAAAATGTTTAAAATGAATAATTGATAATTTGAAATAGGAAAAAAGGTCCAAAGAGGTAGGGGTGGTGGGAGGGGAAGGGGAAAGGAAAGAAGGGAAAGGAAAAATTATGAGAAAAGAAAAAAATGGAAATGATGTCTATGTAAATAGGGAAGAGTGGAGGGGGGTGAAGGGCACACAGGTAATGGGGAAAAAATGAGAATCAAGATACATCATGTACAGGTACAAGCACCCAATGATAAATGTAAACGTATTGTATACCTAAAATGTACCAATAAAAGAACTTAAGAATAAAAAAATGTTGATAATAAGGAAGCCATTTATTGAGTACATATTGTGTGGTAAGCAAGCTGTTAGATGCATTATAGATATTTTTATTGCTCACAACAACCCTAATGAGGTAGGTATTCTATTAATATCTCATTTCATAAATGAATGCAGTTTAAAAAAGAGTAACTATAATCACACAAGTGGAAAAAGGTGAGACTAGAATTCAAAATCAGTACAGGCTCAGAGTCACTGACTCAGAAAGAGTCACTCAAGTTCACATAGTTGAAGGTCAAGCCCAAAACTTTGTTCCTGGCTCTAGAATCAGGTAGCCTGAGTTAAGATTCTACATCTGCCATTTTTCAACTGTGTCACCTTATGCAAATTACTAAACCACCCTGGGTCCCAGTCACCCTATCTGATAAGTAGGGATAATGACTGTCTATCTCAAAGAACTACCTAGATTAAATAAGTTCATACACAAATACAATTAGCACATGGCTTGTGCTTTGCAGCTAGTTATTAATGTTATATTTTCAGCCCCTCCAGCCTCTAAGCTAAGTATATATTTTATTCGTCTGGGCCACTGCAGGTGCCTCGAGCAAAGGCCTTATGCAACTACCGAGGTCAGAATCCTGGTGACCTGAGGTTTAATAAGGGAGATGTCATCCTGCTCCGGAGACAGCTGGACAAGAACTGGTACCTTGGAGAGATCAATGGAGTCAATGGGATCTTCCCGGCCAGCTCCGTGGAAGTCATCAAGCAGCTGCCCCAGCCACCTCCACTCTGCAGGGCCCTCTACAACTTCGACCTACGAAACAAGGACAAGAATGACAACCAGGATTGCCTGACCTTCCTCAAGGTAAGATTCTGGGTGGCCACAAAAGTCACTGGGGACCACATAGAGACTATGGCAGAACACAGAGTTGATTAATATTTGCTGATTTTTAAAAGATAGATGTATTTTATACATGATGTGTATGTGTAGTGTTTAATATGTGTGTGCACATATGTATGTTATATGTGCAGATAATTCAAACTACATAAAAATGAAATCTGTAGAGCAGTCTAATTAAGTATTTAGGAGAAATCTTTAAGCCTTTTCTATTGCAACTTCAAAAACAAGTATTTTTTGAGCACTAATGCAGGCATTGAGGACAAAGCATGAAGAAGTCACATTTCCTGTCCTCCTGGGAGAGTAGCAAGAGAAACAAATATGTGGACAGAGCATTACAAACATAGTTTGATTTCATGCTAAGCAAAGCAACAGCACTACCTCATAATAATGTACCTGCAAGGCCATTCTTGCTCCCTAAGTTATGGTCACCTAATTCTACTCATCCACAACCTTCTATTTTGTTGAAAACATAGTATTCAAAACACTCAAAACATAGCATAATCATACCTTTATACATAGATAACCTCCTTCAATATATATTTTTCAAGCACATTAATTATCCTGAGGTGTTTTTTTTTTTTGCTTCTCCTTTTCATTGGATGATTCTTCACCATTTGCCAAGTAATGATAGTTCTACTAAATCTAGACTACTTTAACTCTATGGATTTAGTATGTATTATTCCATAGACATTCAAATTCTCTCATAGAAACCAATATTGGAGTTATTTTCACTGTTTACTACTTATGACAAATAGATAAATATAAATATAAGAAGTACCACTGCTATAATAGCTCAAGAAAGGTTTTCTATTTTATAAAATATGTGTGTTCTACTAATAACAGAAATGAGATTTACTTCAGAGTCCCTCAAACCAGAAAAACACACTGCCTTCTATATTTCAAAGTAATGATCTACATTAATTTGTAAACAGTGGCACTTACTCCCCACTCATTCATTCCTTGACCCCATCTATGTGCCAAGTTGGCCACTTGGATAAGATAATAAATTAGTGTCCCTACCTTCATGGAGCCAGCAGTCTAATGGCAGAAACAGATGGACTCATAAATGAAAAATAATGTCAAAAGTGCCAGAAAGAAGATTTGGTCCCTTCTGGCAGGCTATGGAATGCTAAGGCTTCACTAGGAAATCTCACAGTCTTCCTAAATTCAACATGTCCATATTAAACTCAAGATCCTCCCTCCCAAGGCTGCTCTTTTCCTAGTGCTTTCTATCTTCATAAGTTGTACATTTATTCATACATTCATGTCTTCATTTATGCATGCCCATGCTCAAGGAATATTTATTGGATACCTGTTAAGTAAAATCATTGTGTTAGGTGCTGGAAACACCAGAGATAAACAAAATAGCCACAAGTCTTGCACATATAGAGTTTATGGTCTGATAGGAAGGGCAGGCATTAAAAAGATAATAACCTACCAATGTGTGATCACAAATTATGAGGACACAGAAAGCTAAGAAGGCACAGTACAAAAGCAAATTTAGATTTGAATTAATCTAAAATATTTAGGAGTATGGAACATGGGTAGAAAGTCCAGAAGGGCTCCAGTGGACGAATATGCTGATGAACATGTATGAACATGGAAAAATGATCTTGATGTGATATTAAGCAAGTAATCTGTGTCCTGTATGACTTTGTTTGTATGAAGAATAGACAAAATGAATGTACAGTACTAGAAATAAGAATATTGATTACCTTTTGCTGGGGGCTGAGAAAGGGCATGAAGGAGTCTTCTGGGTACTGAGTGAGTTCTGTATCTTAAATTAGATGCGGAGTTTATGGCTTTAGCCAAATGTAAAATTTCTCCCAACTTCATATCTAAGACTTACATACTCTATTGTTTTCATGTATGTATGCTTTCAGAAAATTTTTAAATCAAGATATTTCTATGTACATACATTTTACCTTGATATAAAAGAATCTAGGAAAAATGTGTTAGCCAAGCTGCTTAAAAATGGTTGTGTCTTTATTGTAGTAGAAACTTTTTCTTGTTTTGTTTATCTGTATTTTCAAATGTTTGCACAAATTAAATCTTTTATAATAAGAAAAATTTGAAAAAGCTGTTTATTTTTAATATATTAAAATTGATTAGGTTCTGAAAAGTCTTCAGAATTACCATTAAATTCACTCTTTTTGCCAAGCTAAAAGTGTGTCTCCCTATGGCTTCCATTTTGATTTCTCCATCAGATTAATTTGAATGAAAACCTTAAATTCTTCTGGTGATTGAAAGTTACAAATATTGCCAATTTTTCCTGTGAATTCCATTGATTCTCCAAATTATTCCCACTCCTTTTATAATCTTGGTGAACCAAATACTGCCCTTTATAGAAAAAGTTCATAGCAGAAACTATTCTTAGCAGACAGATTTCCTTAAAAAATTATACAAGAGCTCTATCCTTTACATCATAAGCTGCTTGGACCCCAGATTGATGTCCATTGAAAAAAAACCTTTATCACCTGAAAACTGAGATTAAATGCTGACCATGGGACTTTCACTTTCAGGATGACATCATCACTGTGATCAGCCGAGTGGATGAGAACTGGGCAGAAGGCAAGTTAGGAGATAAAGTGGGCATCTTCCCTATCTTATTTGTAGAGGTACGTGAGTCACAAGTCTACATCTGATCCAAGCTGACTGGGAAATATATACGTGCCTCAGTGAGGCCTCAGAGCAATTCTTACTTGACATGAGTCGTATTTCAGAATTATCTAAAGTCCCTAAAGAAAAGATGCCACACAATAATACCCAATTCTGGCAGAGTATGGGAAAATAGGCCATTTCTATTCTGCTGCTGGAAATGTACATTGGTGAAATCTCTCAAATCCAAACTCAAATAAAATCATATCAAAAACCATAAAATATATACCTTCTTGCAATTCTACAGTTGAGAGTTTATGGTAAGGAAATATTTAGATAAGTATGCAAAGATATATGGACAAATGTGTAAAAATATTCATAATAACCTTGTGTATAATGATGAAAGCTTAAAATAATATAAATACGCAACAAAGATTGAGTTTGAAAATATTATAGTGATAGAAAAATATATTCCAATTAAAATATTGTAAAATGATATTTAATATCAGTATTTGGTAGTATAGAAAAATTTATGATTCATTGTCAAGTTAAAAATAAATTTAATGAGTGCAGAGTTTCACATTCACAAGTTGAAAAGGTTCTAGAGAACTATTTCATAACAAGGTAAATATATTCAACATTACTGACCTATAATGCACATTACCGAACATTACTGACATGGTAAACTTTATATATGTTTTCTACAACAATAAAAATATTAAAATGTGTAAAACTAGCTTTATAAATATATGTGTGCGTATATAAATAGATAACCAACTAGAAGAAGTGTACTAAAATACTAATAGTAATGATCACTAAATGGTGAGATGGCAGAAAATTTTCATACCTTCTGTCAACTTGTATTTTCTAAATCTTCTGAAATGAGTGCATATTTATTTCTTCCACAGTTTGTTTTTTTAAGCTACTTTTTTAAGAAGAAAAGAAAACCTGCTAGGCTATCCACCTATTTCTTCAGTATAATAACATAATCTGTAGTGCTATGAACCTCACCCTAGCTCAGAGCAAATCACCACAAATTTAAAAGAGAGGTTTCATTGTTTAGCTGCATTTAGTAGGTGCTTACCATGCATAAAGCATTAAAAAATGAGAATTGGAGAGCTGTCAAAGAAGTAAAAGTAGTAGTCTCCACCCTGTAAAGGGTAGGTTGAAAATAGAACATAAGCATAAATGAGGAGAGGAGACCAGTTCTTCCATTCTTAAGAGCCAAAGCTGGTTCTGAATGAATCCCATACCAATAGCATTGTCCAGTGTTCAAGGTTTTCTATATGCCCTCTACTCAATGAGTGTTGAAAGAATGAAACAATTGAAGGGAGGAATGGAAAAGAACAACAAAGGTTGTTCTTTTTACTGTTGCCACTAAAAGATATTCTTGTTCCTAATGCTTTCTGCTTCCTGCAGCACCTTCCAAGTATACCCACCCAGTGCCTTCTATGTGTTCAAATTTCACTTATTTAATAAGGCTCAGCTAGAAATCCATACTCTCCATAAAATTTCAGCAATTGGTTGAACACTCAGTTTATTTCCTCTATGAACACCTGACAGGTGTGTTGGTTGTACTTCACAAGCTATCCTAACACAGAACAGGCACTCTTTTAAAAAACTGGGTTTCCAGGGCCAGGGATTTACCTCAATGGTTCCAGCACTAGGTCCCAAGTTTGATCCTGGGTACCAAAAAAGAAAAAGGTTTCCAAACATGTGTAAGACCCTGGGTTCAATCCCCAGCAACACAAAAAGAAAAATATAACAAGTGAATGAATACAAAGCTATTTGAAGCTGGTTAGAAAAATTTTAGAAAACCAACTATTCAGTGAGACCCTATCTTAAACATATATTCAATAATGCAACTAATTTTTCACTGAGTACCTGCTCTGTCAGGTCCTAAGCTAAGTCATAAGATATAAGGCAGATATGCACCCCTACTCTTAGAAACTACAGACATTCAAGTAATTACAAACGTGATGAACAATTCATAATGTGAGGTAGAGGGAACCATTAGGGAGTTATAATGTGTAATTTCCCTTGGTAGGAGGTCAGCAGATGCCACTTAAACCAAGCTGTGAGGGGTGATTAGGGTTAAATAGGTAAGTACAGAGGGAGAGCATTTTAGGGAATGGAGGTAGTATATGCAAGAGTTATTTGGGATAAGGAAGTTATACTGTATTCAAGGAACCAAAAGAATTCCAGACCTGGAATTTAAAAAAGAAGAGAATAACAAAAATGAAGTCAAGGAAATAACTGGAGACACATCATAAATGACTTTGTAAGCCATCCTTATAGTCAGATGTCTAGGTTATGCTGCCATAATAAATAGCACCAAAGTCTCAGTGGCTTAACAAATGAAATTTTATTTCTCACCCACACTACATGTTTAGTGCAGGATAATAAGAGGTTCTACTCACATAGTCAGGAACCCAGACTCATAAGGCAAGGCCATCTCCTAACTGCACTATATGGAACACATGGACGTCCTAGTTTCTAAGGGACAGAAAGAGTGGATTGTGAATCAGCATTTAAATGCCTCAGCACAAAAGCAACACTTCTTTCTCCCATTCTTAGCCCACTGGCCTGAATGAGCCACACAAACCCTCCGGACTTCAAGTCAGCTAAGCAGTAGAGAGGAAGACATGGAATACTTGGTGAATATTGTTTCAGCCATGTCATAAGAAGTTTAAACTTGGCCCAGAGGTCAGTAGAAACCATTGAAAAACTAAGGCAGTCACGTGATCAGACTTGGGTTTCTTAATGGCTGCTCTGGCTACAGAGGGAAGAGTAATTTGAAAATGAAGGAGAAGAAAACCAGAAAGACCAGTTAGGAGGATTCCACACTCCTAAGGCAGAGAAGGTGAGCCGCATGGGCAACAGAAGCACCGCCCCCTGCCCACTGTGGAAATGAGAAGACATGTAAACAAGCC